GTTTTCTTTTTTGAGCGACTTTAGCGGTCGTATGATGTTTTGAATATATCCAATGATTTTGAGTGATGTGCAAAACTGTGACATCAGTCGGGACTCGAACCCACATTCAACTCTATACGAGAGGCGCGTGCTCCAACTCACTGCACTAACGACGCCTGTCTTACCACCACTTTTTTTTACGCTACAAACACATCAATTCGTCAGCAACTATCGCTCACGGAAAGGGTAGAATGTGGTTCGGAGTCTCGCCTGACTTCAAAGTTTTGCACGTCACTCAACGTCATCGGGTTATAAAAGTGGGCTTCATCATGCTGTGGAAACAATACAGTCGGCAATTTCAAAATTTTCCTTCATTAATTTGCTTTACTCAACAAAAAACAATTTGTTTCGCTGCTAAATCACTCTAAATAAATAAAGCAAAATTATGGCCACATTAAAGTGAATAATGTACGAATGGAGAAGTAATCGTGGAAAGATGCTCCAGTATAAGAACAACGCTCTGTTCTCCGCACCGCGGCTGCGCCGCGTTCCGGTGGATTGGGGTGGGGGGGTGACTGACGTGGCTCTGTGGTTTTTCGGTTTCCTAGTTCTTCGACAAGAGGCAAGTTCTCGTATTTGTGTAAAAGTGTTCGTCTTTCGAAGTTATTTCGTTGTTTTGCTGTCTAATTTGCGTCCAGTCAAGCAGGCCTCAGTGTTTGTTTCGCATTTATCCGCAATATAGTGGTGGTAGTAGGAGTATTTCCACTATTTACCCTTGAATTGGTCGTCTTGAGAAGAACATCTAAGGATACTGTAAGTGGATCTCTCAAGCTGACATCCTTTCTGAGCTTCGGCGAGGATCGTACGTCTTCTCTAAGGTCCATCCATGACTGACCATTCCGCCCCTTCGCCTTCCCAGTGAGCCGTTCTCTTCAGTGATAGGACTGTCGATGTTCTTTCTAGAACATGAAATGTGTTACGCGTGCGTAACACGGCTCTGAGGAAGGCGAAGTGGGGGAAATGTCAACCATCGATTTGCAAGAAGGCATACCAACCTTGTCGAGCGACATTTGAATAGAGAGATTAGTTCATTGATTATCTTCGTTTTTTCATTTCTCATTTCAAATACCGACGGTTTTTCGAACCACTCTCTCGACGTTTTTTTTTCTCTCTTACTAATTCCTCTTGCTATCAGAGTGTTGCGATTTCTTTCAAGTGGTGGGATTTTTTGGTCCTTTTTTTCAACAGGTCGTTCGATAAGCTTTGGCCCTAGAGTAATAAGTACCAAATTTATTACCTAGAAGTTATCAAAATTGCATCATTTTGATATCGCTCAATTGCGCATTTTCTTGCGAACATTTGATGTGCAATTTGACTGTATTTGTTTTACGATAGAGCTTAATTAAATTCAACTTCGCCTGATACTTATGCACGAATGGCGCATAAGGGAAAATGGGATAGCGAAGCGGCGCGTAAGATCAATGGAGCTTGAGACAGTGAAACCGTAGCAGAAAGGTACGAAGTTGAAAGCTGGAGAGAACAGCCAGAGGATCAGTCGCATTCGAGCCGTTCTCAAGAAGCTCCATTAATTTTACGCGCCGCTTCACCTGCATTTTCCCCTACGCGCCATCCGTGCATGAGTAGCAAAGAAATTTGTTCTCAAGAGTGCTTCATCTTAAAGCAAGTATAAGCGAGTTGTATACCAAAATCTTGACGAGAAAATGAGCAATTGAACGATACCGAAATCATTCAATTTTACTTACTTCTGGTTAATAAATTTGGTGTTTATTGCTGTAGTGCCAAAACTTATGAAGCAACCTTATAAATCGATCAGCTTCGTCATTCTATAAGCTGTTTATGAGATTTTGTTTTCGGATTACCGATGTTCGAAATTTCAGAGTACTTGGGTTGTGGCGAGAATGAACATCTTTCGCCTATGTGCTGACCTCTCCCATCTCGTTGCTATTGTGATCTTGCTACATAAGATATGGAAATCAAGAAGTTGTGAAGGTAAGTACATGCCTTAGTTTCTATAGATACTTTATTTCTGCATAGATTTAGATCGATTAACATAGAGCGACAAGATTGCTGGATTGTTCCATAATTTTTTCGCGCTTTTGTTTTATTCATTTAATCCTTTATCCAAGTGGAGCTCTTGCCAAAATACTGGGGTATATTGGAGAATCTTCTAGTAGCACTAGGATACGAACATACCACCATCACTCTCCATTTAAATGAAATTGTCTATCGCAAAGTGATATCTCGACGGACACTTTATGCAAAGCCCAAGTTCCATGCTTGGAAGATTATGCTTTCGGTTTTCTAAGATTGGCAGAGTATTATGTTTTGAAAACTTCTCGGCGACAAGTAGACAACTAATGTCAACGTCTAAGGCGGCGAAAACTCTAGAAGCTGGCCGCAGCAGTGCACGAGAAGCATCCAAAACGACTCAGTTTTGCCCTTCGTCAAAATAATTCTCGACTTCACATTGCAAAGTCGCCTCTCTACGTTCTGGAGAAAATGGGTTGGAGCACGGTACACATCCACCCTATATCCCTAATGTTTCTCCAACGGATCATCATCTCTTCCTCGCTCTGAAATAGCTCTGAAGAGAATTCAGTTCAAAGACTACAACCAAATTGAAGGTCACTTCACGGACTTCTTCGATGGCCATTCTCATTCTTTCTGACAAAAATGCATCCTGTGTTTGCAGAAATGGCTGTATATTATTCATCAGGGTGGTGATCATATTGTCGATTACTTGTTTTTCTAACTTAAGTAACAATTTGGCACTTTGGCACTTTATTGGTCCGTTTTCATATGTTTTTTTTTTACGATGTGCGGATCCCAATAATTCAACCATTCACTTCGTCTTTTCGTCCTCTTCTTGAACGTCGTAGAATACTCGTTGAGCACGTCTTGAGATCTCGAGGATAGCCTGGCCGTGGCGTTCCATAGGGCTTTCGTTGTCAACTGCTGGAGAGTGCTAGGTAGAGGGTCTAACCCACGCCCTCCACGACGAGCTTCACATCCACTTGGCCATGGCTCCTTGGAATAACACTCGAATTAACAAAAGTGTCGAAACGCGTGAGGAATTATGGGGCAACCTAATAACTGATTCTTTTTTCTTTGTGTCGTTGAACAGCGGTTTTCTTAAGGATTATCTGGTCGATCTCAAGTTCTGTTTACTCTCGTTTTTGTATCTCGTTATCTGGATTTGTTTACCAATTTCGTATCGGTGTACAACTCAGTATTGAAGGTAATTTTTGCTTAAGTTTTCACTTTTACTTCAATTAATTTGACAGTTATCGCTCGATCCCGTTTTAGAGTTTCTACGTCCATGTTTGGGCACTTTCTTTGACAGCATAAATAAGATCTTCAAAAAAATTGGAGTTTAGTAGTAAGCGGTGATGTTAAAATGTTTCAAAGCACTCCGCTTGTGTTAGATTTCTTCTTACTGTCGTACTCTTCTTTATTGAAAAATTCTCCGAAACGAATCATTTCTATGGAGTTTCTGTTAGGTAAAGCGTTCTTCCTACTTGCTCCCATTGTTTCTTATGATACATTTTATCAAGAAATTCGAAGGTATGCTGTTATAAATAAAGTTCTTCACTGTGCTCCTCATCATCAATTGCCAATCATCATACTTTGCCTTTACAGGTGTTCTTTCTCGTATCATCTTTTGGTACCGTGTATTTGATGTGGATCAAATTCAAGGCAACTTATGATAGGTTGGTTCAGTGGATATGTTTTAATCCTCTGATGATGTATTCCTACTTAATTCATTTGTCGTACTTTTATTTTCGACTTTTCAAGATCTTGGTCAAAATAATATAATCTGATAACATATTTTTAGCTTTCATGAGGCCTGATTTGGTGCTTCTACAGTGTAGCACACGTGTTTTGGCATTACGGCGCGTTAAATGACGATGTCTTTCGCTTCAGTCTGTTGTTCTTTGCGTAGAGATATCCCCTATTTAGGGGAACCGACGCCGAATTGTTTGCACTTGTCGCTAGGTGGTTTAATCAGCCAAAGGGCAGTGTTTCACAGTCGATTGCTTGTCGCCGATAGAACGTATATTGTCATACCTTTCTTGCCGACTATTTTTGAGACCTTGATTTAATTTAAGTAGTATACTCTGATAACATACCGTTCGTTTCGAGTGTTTTATTAAGACTACGCTCAAATTTCAATATGCCCGATATTTATTTTTGAGCCATAAGGCGTTATAGCTACACGCGCCGCTTAGTGACAAAAATCATCAAACGGGCAGTGTTCTACACTCTGACGAGGTTTGTAAGGCCGAAACACGTGTATTGGACTATGTAAATACCCATAACAGATCACATGCATGGCTCAGAAATAATTATCAGGCATACTGAAATTTGTGCGTGGTCTCAAGAAAACACTCCAGAGGAACGGTATGATATCTCATGATTACCAGCCAAGAGCAATCGAGTGTATAACACTGCCCGTTTGGAGATTTTTATTACTTGACGGCGAGTGTAAATATCACGTCTGTGGATCCTTTATGTCAGAGTGTTTCTCTTCCAAGAGGCATTGGCTCAGATGAAAGGCACTGTGCAGTTAACGAGGCTGCAAAGCCGAAACACATGTATTGCACTGTACAAATGCCCATAACAGATAACATGGATGGCTCAGAAATATTTATCAGATGATGTGATAACATATTTTGAACCTCCCATGGGATGTTATGACACTTATACAGTGAGCATAACACATGTTTCGTGATTTTATCACCTAGCGGCAAGTGTAATTATTTCCGGCGTCTGTTCCTCTGTTTTAACGGATATCTCCCCACAAGGCACTAGCTGAACCGAAAGGCAGCGTGCGACTGACGAGGCTGTAATGCCGAAACACGTGCCTTGCATCGTATAATCGCTATAACAGACCTCATGAAAGGCTCAAAATACGTTATGAGAAAAGTCGATTGTTTTGATGAAATATCTTTCAATTTGTATCGATCGTGTCTGGTCATGTGTAGATCAGCATCTGAACACTGTAGAATTCGTTACAAGAACACTTTTAATCCATTTGTTTTGGAGCTTTTCATGTTTTTAAATGATTTTACCATCACAAGGACAGCTATCCAATCATCTAATTTGCTCTTTGAATTCATTATTTTTTTGCTTATTTGAACATTGGGAAGATGCTA